GGACCAGGATAACCCCCGCCGGTCCAAAGGGGGGGGTGATGGGGCTGCAATAGTTAGGCTGCGAGGTGCGCACGTGGCGGCGGGAGATCGGCCGCTTCCCCCTCCACCGGCTAAGCAATCCAGTCAGGCCTCAAATGTAAGAGCAGGTTGCTGTCTGGCAGGACGTTCCGGTCCAGATATTTCAAGCAGTAATGTGTAGGGATCGTGCTCATATGGCGCTGGACCCCAGGTAGGAGGTTCAACAGCTATTATTGTCAAGATTTAGCTCGGTTTCAGGAGAGCTCCAGAGGAACAAGTCCTGCCACACTGGACATTAGGCCCCGCCCCGCGGTTTCAGATGGTTTTTAACCCCTTCTGCACCATGGGGATAAAGGGGGGTACTAAAGGGAGCTTATAGTGTCAGGAAAACAACTTTGTTTTCCTGGCACTATAGTTTCCCTTTAATGTCATTCACCTCCTAAAAAGATTGACTTTAATCACTGCCGTTACAGACTTCTCACACACCTTAATGATGGATATATGGGAATATGCCTCACTTCAAATGTCTTCTCAAATATGTTCCTAGTGTTTAAGAGTACAACCTTTGTAATTTGGATCCATAGGGTGAAGGATAGATAGCATTAAACACAGCAGTTGGACCTCTTTAATCTAAATGCAAAGGCCATTAAAAGACAACATTTAATACATCCATGGCAATATCAATGGTATTAAGTGTATACCAAACATTCAGAAACTCATTCTCCATACAAGTCATGAATTTCAATGACTGACCAACTCAATTTCAATGACACATTCGGGACCTTTAGATCCGGGATTGATGGAGTGGAATGGATTCTGATGATGAAGAATTTCTTTAACAATGGTTTTGACATACCAATGCAGAAACAATGTAACCGAATTTTAACAATGACTACTATTCCATGAGAATACAAACCCTCTCCATTCTATAGTTTGGTTAGAACTGTGAAAGTTATTTTTAGGCTAGAATAAATAAATTTTCCGTGACTTCTAAGGGCTTCTACAGCGTTTCTGTACTAAACCATGTGCAAATCTTAACTTTGTCCAATTTGATGATGCTGGAACATTTTTTGGCTTGCTGTTGGCATTAAGGCTTGTTAATGGGACACTATAGTCACCAGAACAACTACAGCTTAATGTAGTTGTTCTTGTGAGTATAATAGCTCCCTTCAGGCATTTTCATGTAATCACTACCTTTTCAGAAAAAAGGCAGTGTTTACATTGCCCTTAGGGACACCTCCAAATGTCCACTAGAGGTGCTTCCTGGCTCAGGGCTGCACAATAAGCAGCTCTGCCATTCAGCGTCCCCACGCTCTGCATGGAGATGCTGAATTTTCCTCATAGAGATGCATTGATTCAATGCATCTCTATGAGGAGGTCCTGATTGGCCAAAACGGCATTTGGCCCTATGTGCAGGGCCGGTGCAAAGAATTTTGGGTACATAGGCGAAGATGCATTTTTCCGCCCCCCCAAAAACATCTTCACCCATGTGCCTCTTAACCTCCCTTTTGTGTTTCTTATCCTGTCTTTTAAATATCTGACTCCCTTTGCCTTTGTGTGTCTCCTATCTCTCCTCTTTGTATGACTCTTACATCCTCCCACATTTTGTGTCTTACTCCTCCCAGCCCCTTTGTGTGACTCCTTTTCTCCCAGCCCCTTTGTGTCTCTTTCCTTCTCAAACCCCGGTGTGTGTTTCTTTCACATCCAGTCCCTCTCCCTGTCCCTTAATGGTCCCCTCCCTTCTCTGACCCTTACTGTACCTCTCCCCTCTCTCCTCCTTTTCCTGTTCCTCAGTGTTCCTTTCCCTTCCCCCCTCCTTTCCCTGTCCCTTAGTGTTCCTCTCCCCTCCCCCCTCTGTTCCCTGTCGCTTAGTGTTCCTCTCCCCCTCCCTCCTTTTCCTGTACCTTAGGGTATCTCTCCTTAGGGTATCTCTCACAGACACTGTCCCTTGGTGCGCCACCCACCCCCATAGTGGTCCCCTCCCCTTCCTGGTGTGCCTCCTACCTTTCTTGTAGCGTGGCTGAGTGGAGCGAAGTTCCTGTACCACGGTACACTCCGCTTGGCCACGCTACAGTCAGGGGTGTATAAACACTGACAGTCACACACACTCAATGACAAACACACAGACATCTCTGACAGCCAGACTCACTTATCTGACACACTCATTCATTGACAGACACTCACACGCACAGACACACAAACACTGACAGACTCATTGACAAACACACACACACACAAACTCACAGACACTGACAGACACATGTACTCACATGCACACATGCACATACTGACAGACACACTCACTCACACACACACACTGACAGACACTCTCACTCACACATATACACTGACAGAACCACACACACACATATTCACATACACACACACACACTGACAGACACACTCACTCACACACTGACAGACACACATACACACACACTGACAGACACACACACACACACACACACACACACACACACACACACACACACACACACACACACACACACACACACACACACTGACAGACACACATACTCACACACACACTGACAGACACACATACTCACACACTGACAGACACACTCACTCACACACACTGACAGAACCATACAAACTCACAGACACACATACTCACATGCACACACACACACACATTAATAATCTAAATTAAATTTACATTTCCCACCCAGCCTCCCTACCTGGAGAGCTGGCGTGGGTATCTCATTGGTGGTCCAGTTGGGCTGCTGGGAGGCGTGCAGCTGAATTGGATGCCGAGGGAGCTCTGATCTCTCTGATCTGCTCCCTCGCAGGCTGCTGACTGATGCCGCGGGAGCCGGAATATGACGTCATCAGTAAACAGCCTGCGAGGGAGCACATCAGAGAGATCAGAGCTCCCTCGGCATCCAAATAAGCCGCACGCCGCGCCGGGGATCCAGGAGGTGACCTGGCAGGAGGGAGCACTTCCCTCCTGCCGGTCACTGGAATTTTGCGCCCCCAGAGCCGGTGCGCCCTAAGGCGGCCGCCTGTGCCGCCTTATGGACGCGCCGGCCCTGCCTATGTGAAAGCATTGGATTGGCTAAAAATCAGCTATTTCGATGATGTCACAGAGGGGGCAGAACCAGCGCTGGCGGACCCACGCGGCGCTGTAAATAAGGTGAGTTTTAAACTTTTATAGGGGGGCTAAGAGGGGGGAAATGCCACCTAAATGGTGGGTTTAGCACTATGGGGTCAGGAATACATGTTTGTGTTCCTGACCCTATAGTGATCCTTTAAGGTCAATAATGGACCAGAACAATAGATTATAATGGAAGACATGAGCTTTTCCCAAGTGACTGCGTTATCCCAATAACACACACTTTAGTCAAAGGTTAGAAGATAAATACTATATCTGCTTTCTTATGGAATGTTATATAGAGCTCTGGAAACTGATAAAAATTTTGATTTGTTTTATGTGCCCATAATTAAAAAAATTTAAATAAAGTAGTGATGGTTTTCTGCCGTATACATTGAATTTAACTGTTGAGGAAGAATACTGAATAAAATAATAATACAAGTGAAAACAGCAACAGAAAATAATAATTGAACATTAATCTGAGCAAGACAAATTGCTAGTTCTTTTTTACAACAATAAATGCCCTGTATTTTATTTCGGCATAGGACAAAGGTATGAATTTAAAGCAGTTTGAGCCTGTTAATTGCCACGGCTGTATACGGCAGATAACACTAGAAAATGGTCTGATTTGTTGTGTTCTGCTTACAGAACAAATCCCTTATTCCCCAAACTTTGTGAATTCTTCAGTGACACTGTCTGCTCTCCCATTTTTTAAATCATAAAAAGCTGTCTTTTTATGATTTTTATGGCTTTATATTATTTGTCAACAATTTGGCATTTGAAATGCATTCAAATATTTGTGCGAGACTATTTTAGTTTTAATGTAAATCCTACATTGTTTCGTCGTGTAGAAATGGTACAATTTATTACGACTGTTCTCTTACCTTCCCCATTTGTCCAATTTCCTCTGTTTATCACGCTCTCCATTTTGCTCTCTCAATATCCCCTGCATTAATTCTCTCCCTTGTTTACTTCCCAGCTTGTTTTGTCTCCCAAATACATCCTTATCTCTACCTTAATATATATATTTTTTTATTTCTCACCATTTCATATACTTTCTATGTAACCTTCCTCGTTAATTCTTCCTCTCTGCTCTTCATCCTCTGTTACACATCATCAATGTTTACTCTCCTATTCAATCTCATATAACCTCTCTCTCTTCTCCACATAAACCCTCTTATAACATTTTGATCAGTTTCCCCTTTCTCATATCTTCCCCACCTCCTCCCCCAGTGCCATATCATTTCCTTCTGTCTCTCCTGCACAGAGCAATACCTTAATTCTGGAATAAATTGAAGCACTCTGTATACCAAGGCTCAGCGACAAACTTCACTAAGTCTTGTGGTCATCCAGCCTGAGATATCATAAATTCCATCAAAAATACCAGTTTTTATCAAAATTACAGTGAACTGAGCCCTACATGGCCAAGCCAGAGGTAGTTGTAAATCATATAAAAATAGCTACAGTACACAGAAATGCTCAGTTCACTTTGGGATGTTTCAGTTAGTAAGTATGATCTAGCACAGGGGCGTACCTAGAGTATTTGGCACCTGGGGCTGATCCTGTGCTTGGAAAACGGGGGGCGGAGCTTAACCACCAAGCCGCATGACGCTTTCCCGCAGAGCTCTTCTGAGTTACCGACATCTAACGCCATCTCACTGGGCACAAATCTGACAGAAATCCTAACTAAAGCAGACACAAGGGGACACTTGCCGATGCCCTTATTATTCCCCCAAACGGGAAGCGAAACCTGCTGCAGGAGTCAGGCCTACCAAAAAAGGCCTCGAGTCTCTCATGGAAATTACTCCAAGACCTCGTATACCAGGCGCCGCCCGCAAACGAGCAGCTACTACCGGCCGACAAAAAAATGTGGAGAAAATCCCCAAAACAAGCAGCGGGAGCACCCAAAGACACCTTAGACATCGAAACCCTGCTCCAATGCCCCATGGGCCACAAATCGGCGGCAGAGCCCGACCTAGAAACAGGTTTCAACAGCTCGGCACAGAGTCCGCAGGACCAGGGGGAACACCAAAGACCCCAATTATCGCACTTACCCCAAGTTGAGGGCGAGGACCTGGCCCTGGCCACGAAATGCGACATAACTCAATTGATGCAAGAAATAAAACAAATGTATGACACCAACTTAAACCTGGCTCGCCTGGAGATGCAAGCCGTGACCACAAGAGTACAAGCCACGGAAGAAGATATAATGGACTTACGCCAAGAGGTACACAGCATGGGGGACGCCCTCCGCAACTTACAGTCTGCTAATATAGCTGTTCCAAATAAACTGGACACCATAGATGACCGCAGTAGACAGAAAAAAAAACAAAATCCGGGGGATCCCCAAAACTATTGGTTCGACCAAACTACCACACTACCTAAGAAAACGTACGGCTGCGCTCCTTCCACACACAAGTCAAAAGGCTGGAATTTGATGGACAATTCAGGATTAACAAGGCACCCCCTACAGCCCCTCCGGACATCGTGAGATGCCACTCTCTGGCGGATAAACGCCATATACTAGTAGCACTAAGGGACAAAACCACATACCTGTTGGAAAACTCCCAGCTTACCCTTTTTCAGGACAATACTGACATTACTGTGCTCCTCTGGTACACTCCAGTGGAGGAAATCGCTTTTGCACATTACTATCCAACTCCGTGAAGCGTAGGTGGATTACAGATGGCTTCTACCAAGGATCCTAGCAGTCACTTGAGACATAGCATAGCGCAGGGGTCGACACCATCGACCTAACAGACTGGTGACCATAGTAGGTCTGCCCCATTCATCGCGCGTAGGGAAAAGAGAAAGGAGGCAGTTACCTGAATTTCGCAGCACTGACAATGACATCTCACACTTTTTTGCTTTGTTTATATTTTATACTTTATACTGGTAACCTAGACAGTAGGAGATGACAACCACGATGGACACACACTGAGGGATCGCTACCCAGACAGCGAGAGACATCTCACTAGCCCACAGGTCGTTAGGTACCACAACCCTCACCCAAGGCGCCCAAAACTAACAGCTACTCAGCACAGGTGCTATTTTTACTATAAGACTCTACTCAACTGACACGTACGTCACTACTAGCCTTATCTCATGACTAGAATTTAAACTTAATCCACACAGTTTGTTTGTTCACCTCATATAACAAAAAAAGTGCTATGTATTTTCTGATATCCTGTTTTAATACTATGTATGGCAACCAATGTTTATTCCCTTGTACTTTATCACTTACTGGCATGAAGAATTAAAAAAAAAAAATCTAGAAAACTTTGGTTTTAAGAGGATCTGCCTCCTATTTGATATCAAGAGGATAATATCATTTGATGAGCCTAAACAATGGAGGCATCTTATTTCGTCAGATTTTTTCAGATATTTGTAAATTACAAATTAGATGTGAAAAAACCCTATACTAGGGAAGCAGCTCATAAATTGATGTAGTGTTTTTGAAAGGATGTGTCTAAGTGAATCTATGGAAAAAGGCCTGATCACGCTATTGTACACTCACCTCCGCTCGGAAACAAAAGGAATGGGGACAACTGTCCTATATTGAACAATGTGAAAAAGACTTCGTAGAGGAATCGGAGGGTATTAAATTGCAGGAGACAAAGAAAGCTAACTCTGCCATCTTTACATGTGTATCTCTACAAGAACAATTCTTTAAAATAATGTTTCTCTGGTACACCACTCCAGCAAAACTATATCGCGTGAAAAACATACCAACTGATGGGTGCTGGAGGGGGTGCGGCCTTGAGGTACATTTTTTGTGTGAATGTCCCCAAAACCAAATTTTCTGGAACGCAATTAGGGACTTATTAGTACAGATAATTCAACATGCACCAGACCCTAACCCATGGGTGTACCTGCTGAATATACCTTTGAAAGGGTGGGCTATGTATGAACAAAAGCTTTTACATAGGATCACTTTAGCTGCGAGGAGAGCCATGGCCTAATCTTGGCTTAAACCAGATATTCCCTCGATCCCAGTGGAATTGCTAAAATAAGTGATACCTGTCTCATGGATAAATTGACAGCCAAGGTTAGGGGGTCCATGAAGAAATACAACTGAGTCTGGGATCCCAAGGTAAATAGCAGATGGAATATAGAGAGGGCAATGTTCAGTTCTCCCTGTCGGCTGGAATTGGATAAATAGTGGGTATCGAATTAGGGTCGAATTATGTGATTCTATTCCTCACCCCCCTTCTAGATAGAGATTTCCGAATGATAATAAATACTGTAAGCAGTTCGGAATGTGGTGACCCTGCTCTTGGGACCCTTCATATATCTCTTTTCTTTTTCCCTATTTTTCTTTCTTTACTTTCTTTTGTTCCAATCGCTCCTACACAATAGGAACACTCATAAAAGCATTCCTATATACAAGAGTATCCATTAAGACGCTGGCTCTGTTCATGGGAACGATACTGTATTTTTTTCCTACTTTAAATAACTACATACCTTGTACTACAGCATAGGATAATTATTAGTTTGTTATAAGTTATAAGCTAATAAGTGTTAGGTTCATGATTTTTTGTATAAAATTGTAAAATATGTTATATGAGGGACAACTCCGAGGCAGATTTTTGATTGATGTACATTGTGTTGCACTATATCGATATATATGTATGTAAGCATAAGTTCTCACATTTAACTTGATGCTTCAAGATGTCTTGCATGTATCGAATGCCTTGCGTGTCACCAAAAATAAGGGGGGGGAATAAATTGGTTTCATTTCTTTGTTCTTTATTATTACACTTTCATGAGCTATTAATATTAATTTGAGACTACTTGTACATCTATACAAATATGTCAGTTTCTGTATAATTAATAAACAATTGAATAAAAAAAAAAAAAAATCACAATTCTTTTTTTTTTGCTCATCTTCTGCTAGTCTTCCAGTTAAAATAAATCCTGTGTTTCAGTTGAAATGGTTGTTTATGTCAGACCCGGCAAAATTATTTTAAAGATTCTGCAATGGATTTAAATATATTTTAATTAATTTAGTTAATTTGTTAAATATAATCCTCCTAAAGTGCCATTAATCCAATCCAAGAAATAAATTTTAGACAGATAGCAAAGTGTCACGGCCGGTGTGGCAAGTCATACACATAAAATTAAATTCTAGATAACTCTGCATCTTTACATTTACTAGCCATCTGGTTAGTAACCTAGAGCTAAAAATAAAATATATACACAGGATTAAAACAGGCTCCCTTTAGTATTTCTTCATGGATGTCAGATCAGATATATTTGTCAATGTTTTAATTATGTTCAGTATCTTGCGCGGCTGAGAATCAATGAAGAATTATTCATGAATAGCTCAGTATTAGAAAGAAGAACAATATCTTGCTTGGATTAAATTACAAGGATTCTTTAAAATGCTAAAAGCAAGTACATTATATTTGAACTAGGGTATTGCCTATTTTGTAGCATGCATACATACGCTGTAAAGAGTAGGGACCTTTCTTTAAATCTAATAATAAAAAAATACACAAACAATTTCCATGCAGGATTACTGAATGAGGCCCTTTGAGAATGTTCAATGCTAGCTGGTCCGTCAGCTGCAAATGGCTTAGTGAGAATTGATCTTTCCTGAGGTCCACAGAGATGTCTCAGTAAATGAGTAAGCTACAGATACATCACTCATTCAAAAGTCATTTTACAGGAGCATACTTCTAAAATAGTTGAAATTCCATTTGGCTGTAACCTACATGCTGGAATGTACGGTACAGACTGAATTTCAGTTTGCCAAGGCAACACGAACTACGCAGTAACAAGTGATTTATAGAAGTTTAGTTTTCCACTGACCTTCTTACTTATTGCTTTTTTGACAATATTCCCCATTCTCAATCTATCACAAAGATACCCCAGAGTGTGTTTGATTTTGTGTATTGTTATGTTCATCTCCAGTCTTAAAAAAGAAAAAAGAGAAAAGACTCACAATAGTGCAGTAAGATATCAAGTCTCTGATGCTCGTCTTAAAAAGAAAAGAAATCAGGACTACTTCATATACAGACATTACAACCAGCATTTATTGTGCATAATGATTTTTGATTACTGAGGAAACAACAAAAACAGAAGATAGCTATAGTCTTTAGCTTTTAAGATATTAATTTGTGTCCAATCCTTTTATTATTATTATTCCGCGGCTGTAGAAGGAGTTCATTTTAGGCAGATTATTTTTGGAGTTTTTTTGTGGGGAGAGTACGCTTCCTTCTGAAGTGGCGGCTCCTCTACAACATTCACAGATATATTGTGGAGACACACAGAGATGATTTGCCAATGGAACTTTTCACAGTCATAAATAGGTCATATTTCTCACCCCAGGCAAAGGCAGGTCCAGAACCCTTTTTAATTAGGAGCACTGCCACATATGTGTTATGGTCATGTGATGGATGCCCCGGGGGAGGAAATCTGAATGGGCCATTAATTTATCATAGTACGATTCCACTTTGCCCTTCTTGTAAAAGACAAAGAAGTAATGCTGCACAGTTGCACTGAAATATTCACTATATAACAGATTCAGGCTTGACTCCAGCAATGAACTATAACAATACGATGACATATCAAGTATTGAATTAATACTTTCCTATGGAGGCCTCAGCGTCCTGTGCAGTGGGACGCCTCTAGTGGTTGTCAGGAAGACAGCCACAAAAGGTGGCTCATTGAGACGAAGTGGCCTGGGTGACTTTAGAAATCCCATAAAAACGTCCAGTGCTATCCTTACCCTGCTGAGTTCACATGTTTTTGTCTTCTGGGTGGTCGCACTACTAGTTGCGGAGGTCTTTGACATATTGCATCAAGCAACCACCTAAAACCTTTGCTCGCTATAAATGTACACTTACCTTTGCTCCAAACCCTTTCCCAAGCAGAGACTTCCATACATTTTATTTCTCATCGTTCCTAATGTCTGTAAACTTATTTGTAAATCTAATGCATTGACCAGTGTTTCTAATTCAAACTTGGAAATGTTAAACCTTAGGCATAGGTAATCTTCGGCACTCCTGATGTTTTGGACTACACCTCCCATGATGCTTTGTCAGCATTATGGGTGTAAGAGCATTATGGGGGATGTAGTCCACAACACCTGGAGTGCCGAAGGTTGCCTACCCCTGCGGCGGCTTAGATCTCTGAATAACCAAATCAAACATGAAATCAATTAATTTCTAAGCCAGCTAGAAAAGGGAACTTGTTTCTTTCTGAGTCAATAAAGCAATTAAACGTATAATTTTTAAATGAGTTAAAAAATAACCTTCCTTTTTTTGACCTAAGAAAAAAATAGGGGCTAGATGAGTCCTTTAGAAACGTTAAAAAGGTATCATTAGCTAAATTTAATGGGATTTCAACTCATGCAAAGAAACCGTGGCAATTCAGTTCTTTGATAATGAAAATGTTAATAAAAATATTGTGAAAAAGGACTATTCCTTGTCTCTTAATTACGCAATAGAAAATGACCTACAAAAATCAGTTACTTGATGGTTGGAT